CATACTCTACTTTTCTTTTCACATTTGCAATGTATAACCATATTTTACATGCCTTCCTGCAGCACTACCAGTTGTTGGTTTGGTTGAATTTAATTTTAACACACCTCCCAAGCAGCACGGAGATGATGAGGGTGAAACTTTAATTGCCTGTCTGCGTTAAGCAAGACAGTTAAACATGCAGTTAAAGACAGTTAAAGCACATGTTCAACAAGAAAATATGGTCGGTCTGATTCCAGTGGTATGAAAGATTGCTTTGGTCTCCAGGGCTGAGGAAAAGTTTAAGAAAAACATCTGCATGGAGTTTTTGTTTCTAAGTCTAGGTACTATTTGTGCCTTGGCTGAGTCTGGCTGCAAGTCCTTGTAGGAAAAGAAGGCCTAACAGTGAGCAATTACTTTCCTTTGATTAAAACCTTCGAGTTAGCTGGTCTGAAATAGAGTGGAAATTTTTTTGTGAACCTTACTCCACTGAAGGATGAAAAGAGGTTTTCCACTGAAAACACAGAACAAAAAGCAGCCTTTTTAAACATAGAAGCTTACGGAAAATTCTGTGACCATCTTCATGTAAAAATAGTTACTCTGCTTTCCCTAAGACTTTAGATCTTTCCCTTCTTTATTCTTATTTTTTCCAGTGGACATGAAGTAATTAGTAGCAAAGGACAATATTTTACAGAAAGAAAAGCCTCTGGAAAATACAAGATATAAAAATGAAACTTGCCCTGGACTTGTGCTGGAAGTTCAAACATAGCGACTCAGAGGAAGTGCAAGATCATCAAGAAGTACAAGGGTCTATGTAGTTATTTCAGAAGGTGAAGCCTAGTGCTTTAAGTTTCACCTATACACATACGCATACAGTTAAACAAAAAGTGTCCATGTAAATCATCCAATGAACAGTGACCTTTAAATCACTCCAAGTTGCTGCTTCTCTGTGAAGAAATCGATTTCTCCCTCTGCTTTTTGGGATTGGTCCCCAAATGATGATGGGGTATCTTTAAGTTGTTTTTCAGAAGTTTCTGCATTCTATATTCTGGTCTAAAACTCCCATCACTCATCTCTTACTATGCCATAACCTACTTTTTTGGGGTAGCTGGAGCCATTTTCAAGACCTTGGAGGATCACTATTGGCAAAATTGTTCTCTGCATCTTGATTCTAACAGTTTTTAACACCCAGCTGCTCATCCAGATGTATTTAGGAGCTTTGAAATTCAACTGCTATGCTATTGAGCAGGTTTTGAAACCTTTTTTGGATCACAGTAGCTACAGCTTTCGCTAAGCCTCTCCTTCATCTGTGTTACCACCGAACTAAGATATTGAGGTTTTCTCTTTTGGGTCATCCACGAGTCTGCAAATTCGAAGTGCTATAGGAGAACCAAACTCAATTAGCAGGATCCACAGGGCTGATCTCATACAAAGATCTGGTTAACATTTTGGGCTGCAGGTAGCTGCTGCTGGAACCATCCAGCCAGATACCCACTGGTGCTACACTGAGCTCTCCCTATTCCTGGAGACAGCTGCTCCAGATTCCCTCCACTTCTATGCCCTACTGCTTTTCTTGTTATGGAAGATCCCAGAGACCAACCTTGCCACAGTTTCTTTGAGATATAAACACTTTCTCCTTTACTGTCAAAACAGGGATTTTGAAACTTATTTTTCAGTCCACATACTCACAGACACCTAGCCAGACTTCCTTCTGTTATTTCTAATTTCAGCAACACTGACTAGAACATCTGGCTTCTTCAGTACTCTCTTTTACCCCTTTAATACTTCACACCTCTCACTAAAGCCTTGTTTTCATTCCCCTCAGACCGGAATATGCCAGTAACCAAAAGAGGATACAAAAATGTCAATCTGTCTCAGACTGACAATTGCATTTAATTACCTCTGACCCCCCCAGCCACAGATGTTTAGAATAACAATTCAGGAATTCAACAAGGTTGTCCCCAGGTGCTTAGAGATAACCAGAAATGCTGTAACATGGCTTTCAAAAGGATCGTTCAAATAAGTAGCCAAATAAGCATGAGTCCTGAACCAATTGAAGTTTGCCTCTCTTGGTAGTGTTGTGAACTATAATTCTCCACATTTCTGGAGTGCCTGGATGCATGACAACTTAAGAGACTTTAATTGACTCTCAACACGCCTTTCATAAGTATTATTTCCAATTCACTGGCTAAGAAAAGCACAGCATAAAACATGAAGCCATTGTCCAAGTGCATGGCCATAAAGAGAAATTGATGAAATAGCTCTCCCCATTTTATGAAAAGTACAGCTTCTGTACCTGCCAAAAGTTATTGCTGGGGTTTTTTTTTTTTAATTCATAAATGAGTCAACAGCATTAAAAAAAAAAAAAGTGGGAATTTTTTTTAGTGGACTGTCAACAGATATGAGCTGTCTCTTAAAAGCAAAGTTGAAGAGAAGGGCAAGTTGGAAAGTTTTCCAAATGCATGTCATTTTTTCTCAGAGACGCTAAGATAAATCCATCACTTTCCAGAGATACCACTTCAAAGGTAGTTACAAACACGCCCTCAGAAACTGCAGGAATTTAGTGCATATAAAAAAGGGAGGGGTACGGAGACCCCACAACCAGCAAGCAACCAACTAAAACTGGGTCCTAAGTTACAACATAAAAAGTGTTCTCCATAGAATTAATTATTTACAACTACTTTCCAGACCTGCTGAAATAAGATGGCCATTCCCAAAATAGTCTTTGCACGGTATCAAATTATTAAAAATACACAGGATATTTCAGTGAGTGTTTTGTTCATGCAGAAAACTGATAAGATTTCCCAAGGGCTTCATGAAAGAGAAATATCTTTGCTTCTTCCCCTGGGGGAAGAGGTAGCTTTTCCTACATGTTGTTCCTAGAAAGCCATGTGTTTATTTCAGAGGTAGTGTTGGTCCATGTTGTGAGCCAATGTTGCAAGACTGGGAGCCGATCGTGCCTCTCCATAAGCAAAGCAATGGCAACCTCCCCTCTCCTTCAATCAAGGCTGGGAAAAGGAAGATGTGTATCCTCTGGAAAAGACATAGTGAATTTGCAGAGTCCACACAAGATGGGTCTATACCAGGGAACGTAAAGAAACATTTCCAGTACTCCAGCTAGTACCATAACAGTAGCAGTGATGCTGCAGGATCCCTAACTCAGCGAATACTCTGTCAGTGTAGTCAATGCATTGATGTCCTTTGAGCAATCAATCTTGCTGCTGTCAGTGGAACTGCACCAGAATTTGAATTTAAGAGTTGAAAAAATGCTTAACAAGGTACGCAGTTTTAATTACTCCTTATCTGTCCTATTTTATATCTTATTTGCCTAAGAATGTTGTTTTATCTTTTAGGTAAAACTAATGAAAAAACAATTAAACCAATGTCCTTCTTGTCTAAGTTTAGCACAGCTTAATGCCTCCATATTCTAGTTTTTCAGTTGTTTCCTTATAGCATTTATGATTACCTCACTCCTGCATTGCTCCTCTTGTTCCTTTCCTGGTTGGTTTAATTTGTTAGTACATTTATTTAGAACCAAAGATATGTATGATATTGAACAGGGAGACACACAAACAAGACGGCTCCAACCTTGTTCCAGATAACATGCAACACTTTCCGATGGTCTTTGCAACTCTATCAGAAGAAAACACGCACAAAACATGACTAAGATATTTCATGTAATGCTTTAGGAATTGCTTTACAACTTTCTAAAAATCAGTGTTGATTCTTCCCAGAGAAAGACTGGGCCTCATCACTGAGAGACTGAAGAAAATTAAGTGCCGAGGGAAGATTTACATCAGGACAAGGAAGCTACCCTAAATAAAGTGTCCAAAAGGATATTTAGATTGCATTTGACACGCCTTGCAGAACAGAGTAAGACCACACCTCTTCCAAAGACAGTTCCAAAAGGATTTACATATAGGTGTCACTGAATATTTTGAAACTAGAATCTACTGTTAATCTGTGCTCTACTGCTCCATTCCCCTGGAGAGTTTTACAAGTCTGTTGTAAACCTTATCAAAAGCTTCACTTCATGTGAAAAATTTACTAGATGCTTCTTCATTGAACTGTCTCAGCAGAAAGGTCCTGAACGTTGGCATGGTTTCCTCTAACAGCAAACATTTAGCAGACAAAAACAAATATAAAAAGACAAGCATTTCAGAATAATTCATCAAAAGATAAAAAATTTCTGTGCACGTGCACAAATATACATGTAATAATACATATAAGATGAGCTTTGCCACTATATAGTGGTTCAAGAAGATTCTGCTACAATACTTGGTCACAGAGAAACAGCACAGCTCTTAGTGACGAAGAATTCTACCAACTTAAACTGAGAAGTTCCAGTGCAAAGGTCCTGCCTGCACGAAGGTATCACTAAACTAACCACAAAAATCTAACCACAAAAATCTAACCACAGCTAAACAAATGTTATTTGACCAATTACCAGCTGACACTCTGTACATGCCTCTGTACAGTCAAGTTCCTGGAAATGAAACACAAGAATATTACTTAGCCAAAAAAGGACTCACTGTCCCAAATAGCTCATATGCCTGTGGCATCCCTTCCAAGCTTAAGAGCCTGAAGTCATGCAGCGGCTCCCTGAAGCAGCATTTATCTGGTCACGCACATCTAGATGACAGCACTGTTGTTCTCATTAGGACAACAACTTCTGGTACTGACAAGGGACTCCTGAAATGTTATTCCTTGCTGAAGCATCTCAGTTTTGAACGACAGGGATTGAAAAACAATGGGATGTTCTTAGTAGAATAATCAACTGTTTTTTTAATTGAGAATTCATATATACAGCCTGTGGAACTCTGTGCAAATGGATGCAAACAAAGAGCTTCATATAATACAGTGCCTTTTGGATTGATCTCACAGTTACTTAAATATACAACGGCATGAATGGCTCAGTGCAATCCCCCCATCCCATGTCTGTTCCTGACACTGGATTGAAAAATAAGACAGTCCAGCCTGAGACTTTTTTTTTTTTGCAGAGGCACCAAAGTAGGCTTGTTCAGTCACTCTGTCCGGAGACGGACAGCCTCCCGCCGTTGCTTCTGAACAGTCCTGGAATCTTCCCACAGACTGGGTCCTCTGATGTTCTCCCAGTTATCCAAGTCAGACTTTTCCAGCTTCTGCAGACAAACAGCAAAAATAAGAGTGTCACCTTGACAGCCCCATGATTTAAAGTATGCATTATTCTAAATTGTTTTCTTTTTGCACAAGAATGAGATGAACTTTCATCTGCCCTGCAAGAGAAGTTCAACAACAAGGAAAAAAAAATTTGGGAGTTATCCGTATAGCTACATAAATGACTAGAGTGGACATTACTGCATCTGCTTATCAAAAGATAAATAACATGCAGGACAGGAAGCGCTACAGCATCTGAATATGACTGAAGATATCTTTTATTCACTTTTTCTTTCTTCTCTCACCTTGTTTTCCAGATCCGTTCTTCAACTGCAAGCCTGCCAAGTACTGAAGTAGTAGGAGTGATAAGCATTGGTACAGCTCAAAGAGAAGATTAGTAATTAGTGACCTGAAGTATCCTGTCAGCACAGATACAAAGCATACCGGAAAAGATTAATTATCTAGCACAAAGAAAGCCAGTACAGTGCAATCCCCTTCAACGTGTGGTTTTAACTTGAGAGAGGTATGTGATGGTTTCTGCTGCCTAGTTTCTCATGGCACCCAACCATCACAGATAGGTCTTTCACCAAGTCATACGTGAGATATGCTAACTGGCCGAACTGTCAGATACTTAAAAACTATCTAGATTTTAACTATCTCCTTGCCTATTCCTATCATCCCCACTCAGAAGTACCAATGACTGCAGTATTTATCTAGCCTTAGAGGCGCACAAAAATGAAGAACAGGCGACTTCATGACCTACCAAGTGCTGCAGTTGAAGAAGACAAACATACTGTATCTTCACAGTCCTACTGGCAGAGACACAGAAGTCCCTTCCCAGCAGACACAGACCTCAAGTCGCACATACCAGCCTGCAGTCTGGAACGGTACCTCAAACACGACGGGGCTCTGCCAACAGGAGACTGAGGAGGGGGTCTGCACCACTGCCAGAGACAGGGCTATTCTACATGCTACTGAGGAGGGCAATACTGCAAACCATTAATGATACATACTGCAGTGGGATTTAAACCTCTGATTTGTGATCAGGGCCTCGTCTCAGCAAATGCTGTAAAAATACACCAGAAAGTACTTAACCCTGCCCTGAGCCTGTGGTCTAATTTGTCTGCCATCAATCATCCAAAAAAATGGCAAATACTGAGGGACTTGAATAATAGTTGCAGAATAATTCAACAGCTAGAACGGAACAGACCTGCTGCTATTAGTTCATGTTATGTAAAAGTTTTCTGCCACTTCTACAACTGAGGAAATTGTAATGAGGTTAGTCAGATATCAAAAGACATTAGGCAACATTCAACAGAAGATAGATGAGAACACATGCACAAACACAGCAGATTTTCACAAGGTAGGAGCAACTGAATTTTTTATACAATGGAGTTGGCATAGGTCTTTCTGAAGAATTGTCTTCACTACTTTATACATCTTATGATTAGCTGGTACTTCATTTCAACTGGAAGGGATCTGAGCTGACATGGAAGGAGGGAGGGGGAGGAAAGGTACCCATCATTCCACACAGCAGCGACTATCCACTCTGATTGCAAATTCAGAATTTAACATCTGATTCTAATGGAAGCTTCAAGGAAACTACACTGAAAATAACCTCGTGCTTTAACAGAAGGGAAGCATGCTGATTTTATTAAACACAAAGGTACCACACAGCTGTGAGGATCTAAACTATTCCGAAAGGTCCTCAGCTCCCGAAGTCTGAACAAGAATCAACATTTAAAACATATGCAACAAAACTTGTAGTATCTAAAGATAAGCTACATAAAGAAGTCTATCAAGAGAGACATGCATACCGGAGATCTTTACCAAAAGTTCGTATTAATGAATGATATTAATGTGCCCCTGAAATTTCACAAAGGCTTTTCAGAGAAGAGGTTTGTCCAAAACAGGAAATATTTCAAAACTATACAATCTAAACAAACCACTATAAGAAAGTATTTTGGAAGTTTCCAACGGAAAGCATAAAGCTACCTGGAAAACACACTGTAATATACTGACAGAATAAAACCACCAAGGGTTATGTACAGTAAATGGCATTGCCTCAAACTACGGAACAGATGAGATCTGTTGACAGAGTTAATTTTTGTCAATTATAATATAAAGAATTAAAGATTCTAATGAATACATAGAGAGACTGTATTTTAATTTTTTATTCTCATTAAATATATATAGAGATCACTAACATTTTGTGTGATGTATAAAGATTGTGTTTGATACCTTGCTGCAATTCAAGAAGAAAGCATCTTCCTTACTGGCATATGACAGTATCTGCAAAAATTAGTAGATTATGGGACAGGTATCTGTTCAGTTGTCAGAAGGCAGCATGATTAGATAATCCAATTTTCTAAACTGATGCTATCAAGTTTTGAAAGAATAGAGGACTCCTGTTGCATGTGGATAAGCATAAGAAGGAGTATCACTGGTGAAAAGGGACCCAAAAATGTGTTTTGCAACGCTTTCCTGCTGCATAGCTATTTTCACACGTACCTACCTGTGCTGGTTCTGACTGGGATAGAGTTAATTTTCTTCACAGTAGCTAGTATGGGGCTATGTTTTGGATTTGTGCTGAAAACAGTGTTGATAACACAGGGATGTTTCCGTCACTGCTGAGCAGGGCTTACACAGAGTCAAGGCCTTTTCTGCTTCTCACCCCGCGCCACCAGTGAGGAGGCTGGGGGTGCACAAGAAGCTGGGAGGGGACACGGCTGGGACAGCTGACCCAAGGGGTATCCCATACCATATGGCGTCATGCTCAGCATACAAAGCTGGAGGAAGAAGAAGGAAGAGGGGGACATTCGGAGTGATGGCGTTTTGTGTTCCCAAGTCACCGTTACACATGATGGAGCCCTGCTTTCCTAGAGATGGCTGAACACTGCCTGCCGATGGGAAGGAGTGAATGAATTCCTTGTTTTGCTTTGCTTGCGTGCGCGGCTTTTGCTTTACCTATTAAACTGTCTTTATCTCAATCCACGAGTTTTCTCACTTTTACCCTCCTGATTCCTCCGCCAACCCACCGGGGGGAAGTGAGCGAGTGGCTGTGTGGGGCTTAGTTGCTGGCTGGGGTTAAACCACAGTATCTCACATACAACTAGATAAAACCTAACCTTTTTACTTGGTCACTGACATGACAATTCTTACAACAGTATCACCCCAGAATAAATGGCTACATTAGATATAGGCCAAAGACACGTACATAGCTACATTTTCAATTAATCTTAGTGCCGAGAATAAGACCAAACTGACAGTGCTTCTATTTCTTAGGTGCAGCTCAAGCTGCAAAGTTACACAGCTCCTTCAGACTGCCTGAGCTGTACAGTGAGAATTCAGGCAAGCAGCTAGTTCTGCTCCCAGATGAAGTCAACCTCTTTCATTCAAACTGGTTAGGCCTTTTTAATTTCTTGTTTCTTTTTTTCTTTTTAGCCACCTGGACTCTGCCCACCTAACGTCATGGAGACATCACATAAAGATGGTAAACTACTTCCAGTTTCTACTAAATTGAAATCCATATGAACCAGCAGTATGAAAACCAAAAAGCTTTTTCTCCCAATTCAAATGTACTAAACATTCAATCATTGGAGACTACAATGAACTGTAATCAGATCAGACCAGCACCACTATTCCTGCTTGTCTAAAATAGCCCAAAGGATGTTGAAAATTAGGTGTTTAAAGTAACATCAGTGTAGTCCATTAAATCTACTGATTCACTTCCTAAATCAGCTAAACTGCCTCTTGAAAGTACGGGACTGACAGAAGCTGTAAATTCAAGAAAAAAAATGCAGCTACGCAGACAGGCACAATGAACAAAAAAAAAATGTTAAACTGTTTGCCACACACTTGACTTTTAAGACTTTTGTTAAATAGCTTGCCTGGCGCAAAGGTTCTGATAAGGATCTAAAGAGACCTTCACTTCTGGTTCAAATGCCTGGCTTTATATTAAGTAAAAGCCATAATCCTCTATCAGCCTTAAAATAAAATAAAATTTAAAACAGAGTTTGAATTCTACTCTTGCAGGATAGATTCATGCCACAATAAACAAACTGAAATCTGCAGAAATTCATTTAGAGCTATTGGTGCTCAGGCTGAGTTAATTCAGGGTGGTCACTTCAAAACATGTTTGGCTTTAGTCTCTGTTTCCCACATGTGAAAGGAGGGATAAAAAAATCCTGTTTGCTTTACAGCTTGATGGAATAGATTCTGTGATGAACGCCACAGAAAGAAATTACTCTAATTCAGAGAGACAATCATTTCCCATCATTATAGTAAGCAAACCCATTTGGAAATAAAAGATGAGCCAGGGAAAAATATCCTCATAGCTGAAAGATGCAGTGAAAGAAATACATTAAACCAGTTTGGTTTTGCAAGGGTGTCAAAACCGCTTGAAGACCATAAAAGATATATTGAGGAACACTATGATGACATATAGATGCAGAGGTACAGAATTAAGGCTAACACTGAATCTGCTGTCTTGTGCATGAATGAAAATCTTAACTTTATCATCACACTGATA